TTTTATTGCCATGACTTAGCTTCACCAAGCCTGGGAATCAGATTAACAAGAAAGCAACTCCTTACATATTGCAGATTAGAAAGGCAAAGGCACAAAATGAGCTCAAACTAGCTACAGGCATAAAGGGAAACAAGAAGACCTTTTATAAATATATTAAAAGCAAGAGGAAAACCAAGGACAGGGTAGGCCCACTGCTTAGTGAGGAGGGAGAAGCAGTAACAGGAAACTTGGAAATGGCAGAGATGCTCAATGACTTCTTTGTTTCGGTCTTCACCGAGAAGTCTGGAGGCGTGCCTAACGTAGTGAATACAAGCAGAGAGAGGGTAAGTTTAGAAGATAGGATACACAAAGAACAAGTTAAAAATCACTTAGGAAAGTTAGATGTCAGCAAGTCACCAGGTCCTGATGAAATGCATCCCAGGATACTCAAGGAGCTGATAGAGGAGCTATCTGAGCCTTTAGCTATGATTTTTGAAAAATCATGGCAGACAGGGGAAATTCCAGAAGACTGGAAAAGGGCAAATATTGTGCCCATCTATAAAAAGGGGAATAAGAACAACCCAGGAAACTACAGACCGGTCAGTTTAACGTCTGTCCCAGGGAAGATAATGGAGCAGGTAATTAAGGAAATCATATGCAAACACTTGGAAGGTAATAAAGTGATAGGGAATAGCCAGCATGGGTTTGTGAAGAACAAGTCATGCCAAACTAATCTGATAGCTTTCTTTGATAAGATAACGAGCCTTGTGGATAAGGGAGAAGCGGTGGATGTCATATACCTAGACTTTAGTAAGGCATTTGATACGGTCTCGCATGATATTCTTATTGATAAACTAGGCAAATATAACTTAGATAGGGCCACGATAAGGTGGGTGCATAATTGGCTGGATAACCGTAGTCAGAGAGTTGTTGTTAACGGTTCTAAATCCTGCTGGAAAGGGATAACAAGTGGAGTTCCTCAAGGGTCTGTTTTGGGACCCATACTGTTCAATATCTTCATCAATGATGTAGATATTGGGATAGAGAGTACGCTTATTAAGTTTGCAGATGATACCAAACTGGGTGGGGTTGCAACTTCTTTGGAGGATAGGGACATAATTCAAAATGACCTTAGCAAGTTAGAGAAATGGTCAGAGGTAAACAGGATGAGGTTTAATAAAGAGAAATGCAAAGTGCTCCACTTAGGAAGGAACAATCAGTTCCATACATACAAGATGGGAAGCGACTGTCTAGGAAGGAGCATGGCGGAAAGGGATCTAGGGGTCATAGTGGACCACAAGTTGAATATGAGTCAACAGTGTGATGCTGTTGCAAAAAAAGCAAATATGATTCTAGGTTGTATCAACAGGTGTGTTGTAAGCAAAACTCGTGAAGTCATTCTGCCGCTCTACTCTGCACTAGTTAGGCCTCAGCTGGAGTACTGTGTCCAGTTCTGGGCGCCACATTTCAAGAAAGATGTGGAGAAATTGGAAAGGGTACAGAGAAGAGCAACAAGAATGATTAAAGGTTTAGAGAACATGACCTATGAAGCCAGGCTTCATGAACTGGGCTTGTTTAGTTTGGAAAAAAGAAGATTAAGGGGGGACATGATAGCGGTTTTCAAATATCTAAAAGGGTGTCACAAGGAGGAAGGAGAAAATTTGTTCCTCTTGGTTTCTGAGGACAGGACAAGGAGTAATGGGCTTAAAGTGCAGCAGGGGAGGTTTAGATTGGACATTAGGAAAAAATTCCTAACTGTCAGGGTGGTCAAATATTGGAATAAATTGCCAAGGGAGGTGGTGGAATCTCCCTCTCTGGAGATATTTAAGAACAGGTTAGATAGACATCTGTCAGGGATGGTGTAGACAGAGCTTGATCCTGCCTTGAGGGCGGGGGATTTAGAATAGGGCCTCTCCACCCGCTTAGGATCAGACCTTCAATAAAGCATGCTGCATTGAGCATCTTTGTAGGGACATACTGAGCTGTTAACCTGAGTGACAGATAGATTGGATTTACAGGCAGACAAGACCAGTCTGGATGAATTGCTTTCTGGCAGCAGTGGATACTAGAGTTGAAACAGCAGCCTTAGAGCAAGTCCAGGGTGGCAGCTGGGCCAGAAAGGAAGGGCCAACGGCTTCCCAAACAGCCTGGCTTGTGGAGTCAGATGCGGAGTCGTAGGTGTGGGCTGGGCCCCAACATGGAGCTTAGTAGCTAGTGACACTTATGGCCAAAGCCCCAGCAATGCTTACAATACTACCAGGAAGCAGCCCTGAACCACATCCATAATCTTACCAATCCTGAGCGTGGGAAGCATCGAGGAAGGGGTGGAAGTGCTTCCCTGGCAATCCATGTGGCAGCCATTTCTTGCTCTTCAGAACCTCAGCTGGCTCTACCCATGGGCAGCCTGCCAGCATCAGGATAGATAGAAATATTTCCCACCCAAGTCTGCCTATAGCCTAGGGTAGCCTCTGTTGGTTAGAGAGCTCATCAGGAACGGGAACCTAGGAAGAGTGCTCAGAGGTTCTGAAAAAGAAGGAAACGTGCCAAGCCCCTAGGGAGGCCTATCTGGTTACCAGGCAGCCACGGGAACTCTAAATCATAGAGGAACTATATGCAGTTTCACAGAAAAGTTACTGTGGTTTAATCTCTGTGGGCAGGAGATCTATGAACAGGAAACCTCCCACAGGTGATGTCAAGATGCATGACTCCAAGGACTCATTCCAGGTCAAGAAGGCCTTACTGGTAAAGATGCTAGGATGGAGGAAATGAGTAGACTCAAGTAGGGCAGACAGACTTCAGTGAACTCATAACCCTCTGCCCTCAGCCAAGTTGCTGAGGTAAAATCTTGTTTGCACAAGATTTTGGGTAAATAAATTAGACTCCTAAAGAGTCAGCCATGCCTTCACTGATTCCTGTAAGAACTCCCCCTTAAAATATACAATTCTTCCACCCCAAAAAACTGTTCTTCCATTCACCTAAATATTAACACAAGAGATGACAATAAAATCAACTAATAAGGTGTATGGTATACATCATTGCTCACTCTCCTGCTTTTTATTTCATCCTATTCCCCATCCTTTGTTTGTATACTATGTCCAGATTCTCAAAGGTGCTCCTAATTTCCATTTGATCTGGGCCTGTCTGCTGATATTCACAGCTTTTTTGGGGACCACGATGTTGCAACACCTATAAATTACCTACTTTCTTGTGGGCACTATTAAAGAGTAACAGTTGCTTTCTAGCAAAACAAATGCCAGTAAGTTTTCTGTTTTTAATCATAAAAGTTCCTTTCAAGTGATTCTTTTATTAATATGAAAAGTCTTCTTTTAAACATAAGAACATAAGAATGGCTGTACTGGGTCAGACCAAAGGTCCATCTAGCCCAGTAACCTGTCTGCCAACAGTGGCCAACACCAGGTGCCCCAGAGGGGGTGGACCGAAGACAATGATCAAGCAATTTGTCTCCTGCCATCCTTCTCCTGCCTCTGACAAACAGAGGCCAGAGCCCCCATTTCTATACCCTGGCTAATAGCCTTTTATGGACCTAACCTGCATGAAATTATCTAGCTTCTCTTTAAACTCTGTTATAGTCCTAGCCTTCACAGCCTCATACTCTCTTTCTCTATATATATTTAAATTTTCCAGTGGTAGAAAGCTGGAAATAGGTTTAAACCTAATTGAAAATAGGTTTAAAATTGTAAGCACATTATAATACAAAACTTTCAGTAATAATTTTGGATTCATGATTTCAGGTGCTAAAGCTGCTATTTATAGCCTGTGTAACATATTTATTGAACAATGCATCAGGCATTTTAAAATCAAACTCCCATTAAATTATTTCTTTGTGAATCATTTTCTGGTTTTTATTGACTGTTCTCTTTGCCTTGTTTTAAAAATAAAAATTGGAAACCCTTAGCTCTTGCTAATTGAACAAAATTAGCCTTATTTTTTTTCCTGAAAATAACATGGGTGCCAGGTAACTCTAGTAATGGAGTCCTTTATTTTATAAAAGTAATGTTAGACACATTGTCCATAAGGCAAACAGCAGTTTATATATGGTTACTGGAGCATATCTGGGGGAAAATATTTCAAACAATGACTTAGACTGTGTATATATCTGTCGTGCTAATTATATTATATTCATTGTCAATCACAATTTTGTGAAAATTTCATTAAAGAGTAGATAAATTATATTATACAACAGCCCTCCAAGTTTTTTTGCCTGTGGTTACTCATTGCCTTTGGTAACTAGGTGCAAAATACCGCACACAGACCATGACTATTTGTGGTAGATCATGTATAAATTTGAAATTTTATTCATCAGGCAAGTGGGAATTACTTTAGATCATAACCCAGTTTCTCTAACAAGGTTTCATTATTGAGGAGACACCCCCTTTCCCGCTATTCCTCCTCCACTAACACACATCATCATGACACCCTGCGCCTACATCACCTAGTATGGTGTGGGTGCAGTTGCCACAACAACAGCACACACTAGGTAATACTCCCATATAACTTCAGATATGTGAGTCAGTTTATAAGTTTTATTAGGTTTTTATTAGTCTGTGATGCAGCCCCCAGTCATCTGCAGCTACTAGCTTATCCAGTGCTCACAAATTATAATCTGTTAGTAACACTTAATTCAAATCACTTTCAATATTTAGGTGGGCTGGGTCCCTCCACCAAAGCTAAATGTAGATGCTACCAGCCACACAGGCATACCTGGTTAACTCCTATATGAAAGATATTCCATTTAGTTTCAAAGAAGGGGGAAATGGAAGTTTAAGATGTGATCTTTACTAATTCATTCTGTCTGTCCAACAAGCAGTATACAAATTGAACAACTACTAAATATTTTCCTTTTAGAAGCATTTTAAAAGCAGCTGGGATGAATGGATGTTGAAGAATAAAACTGAGGTTAACTAAAGTAATTTATAAGACTTAATTTAAGTCCTGATTTTTTAAAGTATCTTCAATGAGAATATTCATCAATAACATCTATAATTTTGTTTATTTTCCAGACATGGAGATGACTTGATTGTGACACCATTTGCTCAGGTAGGCACAAACTATTGTATAGCCATATGCAGTAATAAGACACGAAATCTTGTGATCAGGTGATATTATGGTTTACATTTGAAAAGCCCTATGGCCACACCAATTATTTTCTGTCTCTTACCCTGAAATCAGATTTCTTGCTTGATTTGGGGAAGGAAAAGAAAAAAATAACATTGTCAACAAGCTGATTCTGCCATGACTGTTTCGTATAGATTTTTTCCCCTGGTTATTTGTGTAGTAAAAAGCAGTTACATGAACTACAAAATAACTTAGGTTTATTTCTCTTTAAATATTGTATCAAGCCACAGTAGCATTGTGCCATCAACAGGATACAACTGTTAAATATCCTTAAATATCCTTTGTCACCCAGAGTTTATTAGCCACTTTCAGCTTTTCATGTGCAGATATTTTATTATTTCTGCACAGAATATGTTCACTTGCAGCATTACATATATTATTTTAGTTTTCATTTTTGCAACCTACTTTTATTATGTTTTATAAACTCTTGTAGCTGACAGGGAACTTGGTGAAATTCTTCAAAGCTGGACATAAGGTTTTCTCTATTTTCCTTTTATTGGATGAGAAAAGACTGAGCCTAACCATTTTCAGATTGCCAAATTGCAAACGCTTTCCCACAATAACTACACATAAGGAATTACCACTGAAACAACAACAAAATATAGAGCAATATTCCTCCTAGGTCTAGTAATCTCCTGACAAGCATCCAGTACAAAACACACACACATGCACACACAAACTCACACCACAATGTACCCAAGTTCTCTATAGCTGCAACTCTATTAACTGGAATGGGTTACCTAGGGAGGTGGTGGAATCTCCATCCCTAGAGGTTTTTAAGTCTCAGCTTGACAAAGCCTTGGCTAGGTTGATTTAGTTGGGATTGGTCCTGCCTTGGGCAGGGGGCTGGACTTGATGACCTCCTGAGGTCTCTTCCAGCTCTGTGATTCTATGATTCTGGGATATACCAGGAAAAAATTGGTTCAGTAAGGAAAAGTTGTCTGCCCTTGCACTGGAAAAGATCTGCTGCATTATCAATTTTACAATTGCTAGACATCTTTCTGCCAATCTTAATTACACTTTATATAACGTTCAAATGAGACCTGCTATGAGCTCCCCAGGACAATAAAAAATAGATAGGTGAGGTTGACCAATTGTTTCACTGGTACAAAATATATTAGCTTTAAAGGGGAACTAAGTAAAGAATGAGTAAAAGCTTAGTCCCTGGTCAGGGACGTCTTTTGGATTTATGGGGCCCTAACTAGTATTATTAAATTGATGCCTCTAGGCCCATCAGCAGCTCAGGAATTGGGGGGAGGAATGATATTTGTTTTAAATATATGATTTTATAATCCTCAGCAACACACTCATTAAATATTTTTAAAGCACATTTTAAAGTAAGGTCCTGTAGACTAGGACTATACCTACACTGCACAGTTATTTCGGAATAAGCTATTCTGGAATACTTATTTCAAAATATCCTATTTCAAAATAACGCATGTACACTGCAGGGAAGCCTCAAAATTAGTCCAAGGCAGGCTTCCCTAATGTAGACGTGCTATCTCGATTTACTGCCCCAGGAGGAATAACTTAGAACGGCCCTGCTGAGGGGCTATTTTGAAATAGCAGAAGTGGAGCATCTACACATGCCTTATTTTGAAATAGCTATTTCGGAATAGACATTATTCTGAGTAGAATGAGATTTACAGAAGTCGGACTAAGCCATCCGTTATTTCAAAATAATGTAATTGCTGTGAAGACACTCTCATAGTAGGTATGTCTACACTAGCTCGTTAATTCGAGCTAGGTAAGCAAATCAGGGAACTGGGGTTGCAAATGAAGCCCGGGATTTAAATATCCTGGGCTTTATTTGCATGTTCCTGTCCGGCCACCATTTTTAAATCCCCCTTAGTCCGAACGAACTGCCTACAGCTACCCGCGGCAGTTTGAAGTTAATCCGAACTAAGTCCTTACTGGCTCATGTTTTGGGGGCATTGGGTCAATGGCCCCAGTGGCCACTGCTAGCTCTGGGATGGCAGGCTTGGAGCTGGCACAGGCACTGTGGCCAAGGTCTACCACTTCAGTGGCTCCGGGGTTGGGGAAGAGGAGAGGAGAGTAAGTTTTCCTGGTTGTGCCCAGTGTGGCTATCAGGGCTCCCTGGGAAGGGCTGGACGCCCTCTATTTCAAATTAAGTGTCTACACAGCACTTAATTCAAAATAGCTATTTTGAATTTGGTGTTACTCCTCGTAGAATGAGGTTTACCAAATTCAAATTAAATGCTCCGCTATTTCAAATTAATTTTGAAATAGCGGTTTGCATGTATAGACGCTATTAAAGTTAATTCAAAATAATGGCTGTTATTTCGAATTAACTTTGCTGTGTAGACATACCCTTAGGGTATGTCTAGACTACATGCCTCTGTCACCAGAGGCATGTAGATTAGGCTACCAGACATAGTAAAATGAAGCGGCGATTTAAATAATCGCCGCTTCATTTAAATTTACATGGCTGCCGCGCTGAGCCGACAAACATCTGTTTCCTCACTTCCCCAGGTAATTATTTAAGTTTTGAGAATAGTTTATAAAGATTTTGTAGGTGTATGTCTCTGTCTGTGGGACTGGAGCAAATCTGGTTATATCTTAGGGTACGTCTAGACTACGTGCCTCTGGCGACAGAGGCATGTAGATTAGACTACCTGGCATAGGAAAATGAAGCAGCGATTTAAATAATCGACGCTTCATTTAAATTTACATGGCATACCTGGGAGGTCAACAAATGCCTTTGATGTCGACCGCGGAATGTCCAGACTACGGCTCAGCGCAGCAGCTATGTAAATTTAAATGAAGCGGCGATTATTTAAATCGCCGCTTCATTTTACTATGTCTGGTTGCCTAATCTACATGCCTCTGGCGACAGAGGCATGTAGTCTAGACGTACCCTTAGAGACTAACCAAAATATATAGGATCATGAGCTTTCAGGGGCAAAACCCACTTCATGAGATGAATTGGAGTGCAAATAACAGAAACCTTGAGATATGTATATAACAGCAGAAGAAGTACCTGTCAGTTGTAGGACCCATGTTTATGAGGTTAATTAAGTGGGCTGGATGTGTCCCATACATAGCTTTGGATGTGGAAATGCAGATGTTATCCTTTGTTTATAAAAAGGTCTAGCATTGGTCTGTATATATTTTCACACACATAATTGTTAGTGTTTGCATAGGCAAGGCACATGAATCTGGTAACTTTATTTCAGTACATTTAATTCAAACTGGATATAAAATATAAAAGCCTGCTAATGTGTAAATGGAAAATCATGTAATCATTAGTGGGCCATTCTCAAAACACGAATCGGTTTTTGGTCATTTTAGAGAGTTACAAATTGTATTCTGTGAACATCTTTCTTCCTCTTTAAATAAATCTGCCTTTAAACAAATAATGAGTTGTTTAGTGAAGAGGGAAAAGCAGTAGACTGTTGCACTTGCTTTAAAAAAGATTTATTGTTAAATAATGTTCAGGCTTCAGACATGAAAACAATACTGGAAACTTTTTATAATCTTTTTCTAATGCCTTTTTCTTTTGCCTGTAACACAGAGCAGTGGCAATAAATCAGTATCACACAAGCAAGAATTTAGAATGAAACATCTTTCTTTGTTCCAGGTGCTGGCCAGCCTGCGTACTGTACGGAATAATTTTGCTGCATTAACCAATTTACAAGATCGGGCACCCAGCAAGTGAGTGTGGATCCTTTTCCTGTTTGAACTTTTTGGAGTTGTGCTTTTTAAATGTTAGAACCCAGGGCTAAGTCTTCTATTTCAAAGTGCATCCTTTGCTATTAGACTTGTAAAACTCCAATGATCCCAAATGATATGACCAGTTAATTTTGTATTAGTATTTTGAAATAACAGTTAAACATTAAAACTAAGGCAACAGCCATCATTTTCTCTTATTTCAAATGTGATTATTCAAACTTGGAAAAAGTTCTGTGCAATGTCTCTGATTTGCATTGAATTAGTCATGTATAAGGGATCCTCAAACTGGCACCCAAGAGTATGAGCCACTACACACATGGTAAAAATCTGCCTATTCAGTCCAGGACAGTGAAATATTTGTTTGAAAATATATGGTAATCAAATCTTAACATACTTATTTCTGATTATAAAGCAGAAATAACACATTTTCCCCAACATTTCTATAGAAATGTAGTCTCAATATTTAACAGTGTAACCTGTTTTACATACCAAAAAAAAAGCAATCGTGCACTATCCAGACACTTATTTTAAGTCCAAGTTGCCTACACCTGTTTTCCAAGGTAGCGAAAATTATCATAATTAATTCAAATGTGTCTGCCAGTTATGTCATCTGCATAAATTGAGGAGCTTAACTCTAGATTATCACATGTCAACCCTCTGAGTCAGTTATCATTCTCAATATTCAGATTAATAACAAATGAATAGCAACACTGCTTCCATGCCGCCTTTGCATCAAACTTTGACTTGAACTGGTTGCTACATTTTCTACCAATTCTTATGGCATAACTTTTTGCTTTTATAATTCCAATCATGCTATCTGGAACGTCATATGATTTTGCTCCTTTCTCTAATGCTTCCCTCCTGATTAAATCAAAAGCCTTACTGAAGTCAGTAAAAACAGCAAACCTCTTTAATCCCCATTTTTGTTTTTTTCCTCATCGACTGTTGGAGCATGTCTGATCAGTGCAATTTTTGCTTGGACCGAAGCCGATGTATTTCTCACCGCTATTTCCTCTAAAATTGGACTTCATCTGTTGATGTAGATTTT